GTAGATGTCAACTGGAATCTTAAGCAAGATACAGTCTTGTTAGACACCTATACAGGTTGAGTATCTATAACCAAAACGCTTGGGATCCGAAGTGTTTTGTATTTCACATTTTTTTGGATTTTGGAATATTGGCATATACATAATGAATAAGCTATCTTGGGAAGAGGACCCACGTCTAAATATGAAATTCATTTATGTTTCATATGTACCTTATACACATAATCTGAAGATAATTTTATATAACATTTTAATAGTTTTGTGCAGGAAACAAAGTACTTATTTATTTATTTATTTAGGTAGAGACAGGACAGTCTCTTTTTATCACCCTCAGTAGAGTGCCATGGTGTCACACTGTTCACAGCAACCTCCAACTTTTTTCGAAACTGTTTCAGCTATTCTCATTCTTGCTGAGGCAAGAGAATCACTTGAACCGAGGAGTTTGAGGGTGACAAAGTGAGACTCTGTCTCAAAAAAAAAAGGAAAGGATTCTTCCTTTTATGGTGGCTAGAATTTCTAGTACTCTGTTGAGTAAGAACGGTGAGAGCAGACATCTTTGTCTTGCTCCAGTCTTACAGTGGAGGCAGCTGGTGGCTTAAGAACCTGGATTTGGGACGACTGAAGAAAGTGTTGTTTTGGCTTCTTCCAAGCCAAAAACTGAAAGCAAGTTAGTAATTTTTTGAGGTATTGTCCATCTCTTCTAAGTTGTCAAATTTATGTATATAGAGCGTTCTCAGAATTCCCTTATTATCCTTCTGATGTCTGCAGGATATGTGTAGTAATATCAGTATTTTGTGTCTTTTCTCTTTCTTTGTCAGTCTTACTGGAGGTTTATTGATTTTTTTATCTGTTCCAAGAACCAACTTGCTGTTTCATTGATTTTCTCTATTGTTTTTGTACTATGAATTTCATGGATTTCAGATTCTGTCTTCCCTGTTTCCTTCCTTCTGCTTGCTTTGAGTATGATTTACTCTTCTCTTTCTAGCTTCTTGAGCTGGGAACTTAGATTATAGAATTAAGACTTTCCCTCTATTCTAATATAAGCATTTATTGTTATACGTTGATTTCTCTCTCAGCACCGTTCTTGCTAAATTCCACAAATTGTGATATGCTGTATTTGCATTTTCATTCAGTCCAATACATTTTAAAATTTTCTTTGAGACTTCCTCGTATTCAGCACAATAATTTTTTAAATGCATGAAACAAAATACATGGGATTATAAGAAACATAAAAATATGTATATGGGTATTGGCCAAGTGCAGTGCTCATGCCTGTAATCCTAGAACTTTTGTAGGCCTCAACCAGAGGATTACTTAAGGCCAGGAGTTCGAGACTAGCCTAATGAACATATTGAGACCCTGCCTTTACAAAAAAATAGAAAATTTAGCTGAGTGTAATGATGCTTGCCTGTAGTCCAGCTACTATGGAGGCCAAGGAAGGAGACCTTGTCTCCAGAAATAAAGTTTATTACAAGATTACTAAATTATGATAGAGTATGGGTGCTTTTTTTTGTTTTGTTTTTTTTTTTTGAGACAGAGCCTCAAGCTGTCCCCCTGGGTAGAGTGCCGTGGCATCACAGCTCACAGCAACCTCCAACTCCTGGGCTCAAGCGAGTCTCCTGCCTCCGCCTCCCAAGTAGCTGGGACCACAGGCGCCTGCCACAACGCCCGGCTATTTTTTGGTTGCAGCCTGGTTGCAGCCGTCATTGTTGTTTTGGCGGGTGGGGGCTGGGGATTCGAACCCGCCACTTTAGGTGTACGTGGCTGGTGCCTTAGCTGGTTGAGCTATAGGCGCCGAGCCAGTATGGGTGCTTTTTAAAATTAGTGCATACTGTGTAAAAGAAATCATGGTAGGTTTATGAATTACTGTAATTCTTAAGTACTCATGAAAATAAATGATAATTTGGGATGTTTTCCACAACTAATATGAAAATTTCTATGATTATTCTTGGTTACAAAGTCATAGGTATTAAACTACTATGCTTGTCTTTTTTTTTTTTTTGAGACAGAGTCTCACTATGTCGCCCTTGGTAGAGGGCTGTGGAGTCACAGCTCACAGCAACCTCCAACTCTTGGGCTTAAGTGATGCTCTTGTTTAAGCCTCCCAAGCAGCTAGGACTACAGGTGCCCACCACAACAGCCGGCTATTTTTTGTTGCAGTTGCCATTGTTCTAGCTGGCCCGGGCTGGGTTCGAACTCGCCAGCCTCGGTGTATGTGGTCGACGCCCTACCCACTGAGCTACAGGCGCCGCCAACTGTGCTTGTTTTTATATTCATAAGTAAGGGAAATGGTAATTTTCTGTTAGAGGCTAATAAAAATATTTGTTCAATGGCTCTCTTGCATTCTAACCTCGAACCCTTTAGGAGTCTGTAAAATCCAAGTTGGAGGGTTTCACTCTGGTAATGTATTGCACCTTTTTTCTACTCTGTCGTGCTTAATTTGGTCCTTCTGGTGAGATTTTCTATGGTCTTATGATCTAACCAATGGAGGAGAGAAAATATTCCAGTTTGGAGGACAGCCAATTCTTCCCTTTTAACAAGTACCAACCGCTCTAACCACACACATTAGCATTTAATCTACCTGGATCCTGCTGTTTCCCCAGTCTGCTACGATGATGTTTCCATTTGAATCCACTGCTACACCCGTGGGAGCATTGAACTGCCCGTTTCCTTCTCCATTTGAGCCAAATTTCAACATGAATTCTCCTTCCTGATTAAATACCTGTATGAAATATTTTAAAATTATTTTATTTTAAATAGTTGAACTAGCATTATGGATTTTTAAAAATATTTACTTGACCACATTAATTATAACAAGACCTATGATTTAAGCCATTCTTAAAAAGAAAAAAAATGTCTACAAACTAGACTGCAAATCATTTGTGGCTCCCCAATTTACTGTATAAATCTGATTTATCATTTGATAAGTCATCATTTCTCTTTTAATGGCCTACATCCAGTTATTAAACACCAATGTGAAAAAGACTTTTATTATAAAATGCTATATAAATGTAAGGCAGTATGAACAACTAGAGTATAATTTTCAACAATATGATTTTTTCTGCCTGTAAATAGCTAACTTTCAAGAATGGGTATTATTATTTATATTTCCAACAGGATGGATGATCATTCAAAGTTAGATCAGAGAGTAGGAGTTCTTTGCTAGACCTAATACTCACAATTTTTTACTATGTTACTATGTCAATATAACAAGACAGAGTAGGTTGGATGTCATGCTTGGGACATGAGAAATTCACTGCATGTTGTGGGTGCACACAGGTGGTGGCAGCAGATGAGAAGTAAGAAAAGGGCTTAAATCACCCTCAGAAGATATTTTAGTTAAAATAGAGAGTTTACGTTATCCTCAGGCTTTGATGAATAGAGCCTACTGAGAGAAAGGAGGCTGTTAGATGTGAAAGGCTAACAGAACTCTTCAACAAATTCTCTGATATGGTCAAGCAGTGAGATATGATGGTGTAAATATTCTTTCTTTCTTTCTTTTTTTTTTTTTAAGAGACAGAGTCCCACTTTGTTGCCCTTGGTAGAGTGCTGTGGCATCACAGCTCACAGCAACCTCCAGCTCTTGGGCTTAGGCGATTCTCTTGCTTTAGCCTCCTGAGTAGCTGGGATTCAGGTGCCCACCACAGTGCCCGGCTATTTTTTTGTTGCAGTTTGGCTGGGGCTGGGTTTGAACCTGCTACCCTTGGTATATGGGGCTGGCGCCCTACTCACTGAGCCACAGGTGCCGCCATAAATATTCTTGTTAGTAGAGTATTACTACGTATATATCAAATATAGATTTCTGAATTAAATTTTAATATGTATAATGATAGCACTACAGTAAGCTATAGATTTAGTTTTATCTTGATGATTCAGATGATACCTAATGTCTCCGGGACATTATCCTAAACTGCCATTATCATAGTGCCTAGAGGCAAAGAAATAGTTATTAACAAATCAAAAAGTATTATGTGCAAGTCACCTTGAGAGTAAGGGTCCCTCACCTGTGGAACTGAAAGAGTTCTCACTGTATTTGAGCATAGATCTAATCTGAGGATGATCTCAGAACTTTTCAGAGATTCTTCTCTTACCATCTCGCTCTCTTTTTTTTTTTAAAGACAGAGTTTCACCTAGGCAGAGTGCTGTGGTGTCTTAGCTCACAGCAACCTCAAATTCTTGGGCTCAAGGGATTCTTTAGCCTTAGCCACCTAAGTAGCTGCGACTATAGACGCCGGCCACAATGCCCAGCTATTATTAGAGATGGGGTCTTGCTCTTGCTCAGGCTGTCTTGAATTCCTGAGCTCAAGCAATGCACCTGCCTCAGCCTCCCAGAATGCTAGGATTATAGGTATGAGACACCACCACTGCACCTAGCTCTAATCTTACCATCTCTGATCATGAGAGATTAACACATTAACTGCCACGAGTTGTACTTAACTTACACTTGTATTGAGCCTGAGGTCTCTTGAAGCATAGATAACTCACAAGTCTCTTGACATGACTCTAAGGGAAAAACAAATTGTTTTTCTAGTGTGGCAGTCAATGTGTTAAAATAACTATTTCTTTTAGCTGAGTACATTGGGAAAGTGGGACACTTCCATCTCGAAAGGCTAAACTTAAAGAAGAAAAAAGAGACATGACCACCTCCTGAATTAATTGTCTATTTTCTAAGTAAGCAAGCTACCTCTTCCATTCTTTAGAAAAGAAAGAGATGCTGGGGCACAGGGGCTCATACCTGTAGTAAGCCTAGCACTCTGGAAAGCCAAGGCAGGAAGATTATTACTTGATCTCTGGAGTTCGAAAGCAGCCTGAGCATGAATGAGACCCTGTCTCTACTAAAAATAGAAAAATTATCAGGGTATTGTGGTAGGAACCTGTAGTCTTAGCTACAGGGGAGGCTGAGGCTGAAGCAGGTGGATCACTTGAGCCCAGGTGTTTGAGGTCACTGAGAGTTAGGGTTATGCCAAGGCTCTCTAGCCTGGGGCAAAAGAATGAGACTCTGTCTCAAAAACAAACAAACAACAGCAACAATAACAACAAAAAAAATCAGAGAAACAAGCAGCTTTTACTAAGATGCTGTTTTAACATTTTTCTCTGATGCTTTCTGTCCCCTTTTAGATCAAACATTCTAGTTTTAAATACCAAATGGAAGGGTGTTTATGCCGGTGAGGACATGATTTACTATTCTCTGATCTTTCTGTTATTCATTCCTATAGATAATCTTTTGTTTGTAATTATCTTTCTGGGTCAATATGTTTTCCTTGGCATAACACAAATGGCTCAAGAGCTTCTGCTTCATTTTAGAATAACGGAGAATACCAAATCTAGTCTTGTTTTTTTTTTTCCATGAAAAGAAAACATACTCCGCAGATAGCTAAAAAACTAAGTAGAACACTTGTTAACACGGACCCTTTGATACGTTTTTTACATTTACAAACAGAAAAGTGCTCTGAATTTAGAATTATTGCTAACTGCCCTCTATTACATGGGAGACAAAGGCCCAGGTACTCCATAAAATTTCTATGGCAACAGCAGTCAAAAAGAAGGGTAAAAGAAAAGGTTATGTTTTTTGAAAATAATAGGGAAATTGAGCTTAAATAACTAAAAGTATCTGCTTCTACTGTACTGAACACTTTGTGTTTGCAGAATTTTAAGAATTATAAATTTTTATTTTCCATTTTTTCCCACCTAAAATATCATTTAATTATTTAAAAATTATTCAGATGAAAACACACTAAAAGTATGAGGTCAAACTG